CTATCTATCTATCTATCTATCTATCTATCAAATTTATATAGCCACCCATCTCACCAAAGTGACTCTGGGTGGTGTACAACAATCTTTTTGATCCACTCTATCCACCTTTTCCATTGTCTTCCCCTTCTATTCCTTCCAACTTTGCCAAGTATGATCATTTTTTTTCTAGTCAATAATCTGCTTTGATCACATGCCCCAAGATGTGAGATATTCCTTGCTGATCATCACCTCAAGGGAACAGTCTGCCTTCATTTAGTCCAGAACTGATTGATTGGTTCTTCCTGCAGTTATGGTAGCAACTGTCTCTATATCCATAATTCAGCATCATCTATCTTTTTTTCTCATGCTTTTTGTTAGTGTCCAGCTCCCACAGCTGTACATTACTACTGGAAAGTCCATTGCTTTTACTGTTCTGATCTAATCCTTCATTATCTTACCTAAATTTGTCATTGGCTATTGGGTAGGATTATCTCATCTCTACTTCTCCACCATACTTTCCACCTTTATGTATTCTAGAGTCCAAGAATATAAAACTGTCTACCCTCTTCACTCCTTCAGCTTCAACTGTAAATTCAGGAAGCATGCAAGTTGATTGTCTTCTTAATAATTAACATCAATCTTTCCATGTTTGCTTTCATAATAAACTCTTTTTTTATGGCTAACTTTGGCTAACAAAAAGGTCTTCTTACATCTCAAACTGTTCATGTTTCGTTCCCCAGTTTTGGTTTCAGCTGCTATCTCTTCCAATGCTGCCATTTTTATTCGCTGCATGTTATCATTATTGAAATGAAAGTAAATACTTCTAATCTTCTAGATTTGCACCAGAGTTGAGTAAAGGGGAAACTCTAAAGAGGTTTCCTCAAAGCATGGTCCCATAGCACTAAATAGTGGTTCATCAATGCATCCTAACCAGGCTTCTTTCTACCTAAACACCTTTCTGTGATTGAACTCCAAAATTCATAGAGTTTTGAGTATTATTTACAAAGCTTTAAGTTCAACTAGGTGGTACCACCAAGCTCACCTTCACTGATTTTGAAAAGCCAAACAGGGTCATTGGTTAGTGCTTGGATGGGAGATCACCAGGAAATATCAGGGCTATAGGGTACACTGGGAAGTTTGGGGAAAAATACTCCCTGGAAGAAGACAATAGCAAATTATTTCTGTATTGTTGCAAAGAAAACAGTATGAAGGTGCCATGAAATCCTCTGGAGTCAAGCGCAATACGAAGGTGACTTTAGTTTTACAAGGCTTTAGAAAGTTGTCCCAGATATTTATACTGCCACTCATCTACCCAAGAACTCTGGGTGGTGAACAAGAGAAAAACAAAAATCCCATTAAACTAAACAAAAACAAAAACAGATAAAACCATATTGCAGCTCAGCAAAACCACAAAACCGCTAATCACATGCACCTGTGCCAGAGCCCCCATGCTAACCTCCCAACCCCAACACCTGGGGGAAGAGCCAGGTCTTCACAGCTTTGCAAAAGGCCAATAAAGTAAGGGTTGTGTATAATTCAGCAGGGAGGCTGTCCTATAGGGAAAGCACCATAAACAAGAAGGCATGATTCCAGGGACCTGCCAGAGGACATTGTTTTCTTGATGGTACCTGGAGCATGCCCACTGTGCCAGATCTGGTGAGCAGGCAGAAATCACTGGGGAGAGGTGGTCCCGCAAGTAACCTGAGCCCATGCCACACAGGGCTTTAAAGACTTTGAATTGCACCCAGAAGCCTGTGCAGCTCACATGGCAACAGTGTTACATGGGGCTACTGTGGGGCACCCAGAACTGCACATGCCACTGCATTCTGGATCAGCTAAAGCTTCTGAATGCTCTTCAAGGTCAGCCCCAAGTAGAGCACGTAGAAGTAGATTTGATGTAAAGTACAGTTGTAAGATCTTTATGTAGAAATACCTCCTTTCCCCAAATCAGCCTGACATTATAGGAAAGGAAGATAACCAGTAACTCCAGCATGATACTTATGTGCCATCTATGACTCCTCCATTTGTCTGAATTATCTCGGCTTAGTCAGCTACTTTGAATTTTTGATGGCAGATGGTCAGTCAGTCAAGACTTATTCCCAGAAGTTTAGATCATTAATCTGCATAGTGATCAGATTAAAGCTTTTAACATTTTATTTCCTGCTGTTTATATAAGGAATGACAGAATAGGCCTTTAGTTTGCCCCTTTTCTTTAATCTTTCAGTGCTTAGGCAATGATTCTGTTTAAGTTGACATACTGAAGAACAGCGAGTTCCTATTATGTCTCTGCATGAAAAATGCTGCACTGAGTCTACAACCTACCAGTACAGCAATGCTACTAATAGATCTCAAAATCCATTTCCAGTATGAAAAGCATGCCCTGGGTATTGAAGATAAGTAACAACAGTGTTTGCAAATATTACTGCCAGATTTTTTATTAGGCAAAGATGAAACCAGCAGCTGAATTACGTAACTGATGTGTAATCAAGCCAAGTGCAGAAAATAATATGCGTGCAAAGCACAATAGATAATTCAGGATTGTACTGAATATAACTGCGTAACCATCCATCCGTCCATCCATCCTGTATATCTCCCCTCTCCCCCCCATCTGTGTTCAGTGTACTTCGGCTGGGTTTATACACTGAACTTATATGGCTGGTCTGATTTTACCTTTGTGCAATGCATGAACCTAATCATTATTTTTTTTAAGCCACTCTTTACAACTTATTGGGAAGCGTAAATCCAACCAGTGTCAGCATGTTGAAACATGGAATCAGAAGTAGAACATTTGGACACCATCCCCTATAATAATCATGGTGATTCTTAGTGAAAAATGGGACATGGAGAAACAAGTGAGAGATATTACCACACTCAAGGAAACCCTAAAGTTTGCAATAAAGGGGTGTGGTGTGTCTGTGTATGTGTGAATATATCTCTGTATTTATCTCCAAAGCTTGAAGAGAACAAAGCAAGTCTTAATGTACTTACACTGAGAAATATGTTGATCTGCTGGTCTTTGACCATAATAAAGATTTGATTTGGTTTGATTTGATTTGATTTGATTTGAGAAATATGTTGAGAAAAATAGGATGGCATGCTGGTGAAGGATATGGCTGGCTGGACAGATCCTGCAATTGTCTTTTTCCTTTATAATGGTATGTGGGAATGACTTTGGAAGACAGGGCAAAGAGTAGACAGCCAAGGGAACGGTCAAATAAAAGGCATCTTAGCCCACAGCAGGAATGTAGGCAGGACAAGAGGCTTAGAAGAGACCCTCCCTAGTTTCTTGGGCTGTAAAGGGAATGTGGGGAGAGATGTAATTTTGAACTTGGAAGGTTCTGTTAATGTAACCTTACAATAAAGTAGAATTAGCTCATCTGGCCATGTTTCCTGTCTGGTCTGTCTTGCAAGGCTGACATCCTTTGATATCAAACAATCAACATCCCAATGAAAGTCTGGTCTATTTATTTAATTAATTCCAAATAGCACCAAAAGCATTTTCGCCAAAATAGTCATCTTTTCAATTTGTACAGTCCCCTTTATCCGTTTATAACTTTTGTTGTCAAAATCTTGTCAAGCTCTTTGCTATTGTTTTAGTGTCTTTTAAAAATATTATTTTCCTCTTTGTTTTACTTTCTGTAATTCAGAAGAGGGGCTGACTCACTGGGAGACTGTTTTCTTTGTCCTGCTGTTTTCAAAGACATCTTTTCAACTATAAATTGATTGTATCCAAAACTGATTAAGATTAGGCTTCCAGGTGAGGTTTCATGATGGACTAGACATCTCTGAAGGAGTGGAGATGGCACTGCATCAGTGAACAGTGGCCAGAGGTGATTTCTGGCCAGCAAAATCTTTCCAGATAAAGGAAAGACTGAGAGATTCTGTCAATGTAGCTATACAATAAGTAAATAAAGTAGAATTAGCTCATCTGGTTGTGATTCCTATCTGGTTTACCCCACAAGGCCGACATCAATCTTGCAAGTCTCAAAGTACAATTCTTCCCACCCCACTCATCACTGGGAGACTGTTTTCTTTGTCCTGCTGTTTTCAAAGACATCTTTTCAACTATAATTTGATTGTATTA